CGGGGGCCCCCCCGCAGTGCCACATCCCCAGCACACGCGCCGGGGGCTGTGCCAGCTTCGCACTGGCTCCGTGCCGCAAAGCCATGGGGGACACCACTGCCTAAAAGCAGGATGGGGCAGGGAAGCGGGACCGGCATTGCTTTTCCCAAATGTGCACCAGGACCTACATCATAGCGGGCCCTGTCCCAGGTCCCTGACCTCGCGTGCAGCCCCGGACAGTCACCTGAGAGTCGGAGACCTCGGAGGGCTTCTCTGTCAGGCTGCTGCTCTCGGCGGGGATCAGGTCGTTGTACTTGGTCACATCCTCGTCCGAGTAGTGGAGGCTACCGGGGCTGGGCCGCGGTGGGGACCTCGGGGAGAGGCAGGTGCTCAGTGCAGGTCCCCAGTGCAGGTCCCCCATCGGGGCTGTGCCACGTGGGGATGAGCCCAGCTGAGCCCCGGGGCAGGCGCAGGGACCACCCCCAAGCTGTGCCGAGCCACCCGCAAGGACCCTGCCCGTGGTCGGTGGGCTCTCAGGGGTTCCCAGCTTTTCAGGCTGTTCAGCATCTCGGCACATCAGGGCTGGTGCAGCAGCTGCAGCTCATGGCAGGGGGGACACTGGGCAGAACAGGGTCAGCCCCCTGGGGTGCCAGCCCTCCCCAGCCCCGTGCCCATCCCATGGCAAGTGGACGATGGAGAGACACGCATGACATCTGAAAAACTCCCCTCTGCCCGGGGAGGGGGCTGCGGTGGGGGGTCCCTACCGGGTGTAGATGCCATTCTTTCGGCAGAAGGAGTTCTTGACGGAGAGGCGCCGGTTGTTGAGCTCCAGGGCGGGGAAGCTGCCCTCGTCCAGGCTCACCATCTCGCCATGGCTCAGGGCGGTTGCCTTGGAGCCGTTCCCTGTGGGACGGGATGCTCAGCCTCCCACAGACCCTCCCTGGGCAGCACAGCATGGTGGGGGCCTGGACCCTGTGCAGGGGGACTGGGGAACAGCCCGGGAAGGGTTGTGCCGGCTCCGGCGTTGGAGACACAGCAGCCTGGGGACGGCCGCGAGGTGCCAGTCCCAGGGCAGCGGACGTGCCAAGCCTGCCCGCCTTGGCTCACACCCTGACCTGCCTCATCGCCTCTGGCTCCTGGCTCAGCGGCTCTGTTTGCTTAACCAGGAGGTCTGGATTTTCCCCACAATTTGAGCCCTTGATACAGCTAAGAAAACAGAGCTGTGTTTGACTAATCCCAGTGACCTCTGCCGAGCCCCCGGGCTGCCCTGCCTCCGCAGCTGACAGCGGGACAAGTCGCTTATTTAATCTTTAGCTCCCAGCACTCTCTGGGAAGCCCACAGCATCTTTATTGGATGTCACCGGGTCTCTGGAGGAGCCGTGCCCTAAGGCAGGTAGGGAGGCAGGCTCCCACTGCCCCGCTCAGACCCCAAAGGCAGGCAGGGAGGCCCCCAGAGGCTCCTGCAGGGTCAGGGCTCTGCACCCCCCGGCTGGCACCCCAGAGGGTCCCATCACCACACACCAGATCCCCGGCGCTCACCTGAGTCTGACTTCTTGGCGTACTTCTTGCTCTGCCCACGGATGATGAGCACGAAGACGAGCAGGAGGATGAAGATGAGCCCCACCAGGGCGATGACCACGAGGAACCACCACTCCTCGTAGAACGGGTTGGCTTTCTGGGCTGGGGCACAGCAGGGAGGATCAGAGGGGGACGGGCATGGGGAAGCAAACCAGTATGGATGGGGAGACCCTGTTGCAGGGCATGAGGTCCCCTTGGGGAACTTTGTGAGACCTGAATCCATGTGAGGGAGCGAGTTAAAGGGGGATAGCAGGAGGCTTTGCAAGGGGAGGGCTGGCAGACACTGCTGGCAGTGGGATTTGGGGCTCTGTAGGAGCCAGGCAGGGTCAGAGAGATGGGTTTCAGCATTGGCCATGGGAACAGAGCAATGCTGGGATGCTCCCTCCGGCACAGGGGTGACAGCATTGCCCCAGGGACACCCGCATGCTGCCCCTGCTGGCTACCTGACACGGAGGGGGACGGCGTGCTGGGGGTTCCATAGCCGTAGTCGTTCACAGCAATGACGCGGAAGTCGTAGCTGACCCCCTGCTTGAGGATGTCCATGCTGAAGGTGTAGGAGGTCACCTCCTTGGGGATGTCTTTGATAAGGATGTCCCAGAGCCCCTCGTCTGGAAGAGAGAAGGGGCCTGGGAGCGGGGGACCGGCCCTGCAGCACTCTCCAGGGCGAGAGACTGATCTCCCTCCATCCAGGAGCATGTGCCCTCTGCTATCTGCCCGGCCCTCCCAGCCCCGGCAGACACTGCGCTTGCTCGCTGCGGCATCATTAAAAAGCCACAGTGATGCACACGGCTGATTGATTGCCTGCCCCAGCCAAGGGCGAGGCAGCTCCCTGGGGACCTGCTGCCACCACAGCCCCAGAGCACCCCCCGCAGCCCCTTGGGCTCGCAGGAGTGAGGGGTTTCCCTCCCGGTTGCTGCCCCACCACACAGGGAGCAGTACCAACCACCGTTAGCAATCGAATGGGTCGTCTGAACTGCGGTCTCTGCGGTGGGGAGAAATCATTAACTCGGGGCTGCAGGAGAGAGCGTGGCCGTGCCTGCTGGCTCCCTGCCGTGGGGATGGGAAGTCCCAGCTGCCAGCCCTGCCTGCCCCTGCCTGCACAGGAGCAGGGCTCTCCCATTTTGGGATAGCCCTGGTACCCCTCGAACCTCCTTGCCTGGCTGGGGGAGCATCAGGACCTCCATACCCATGAAAGCAGCAGCATCGATGGGTGCTACTCCACGGCTTGCTAGCCCCTTTCCATCAGCCCCGGTCAGCACCCGCTTGGCAGCGTGGTCCTCGTGGACTGGCACATGGCTGACACTCCAGACACCTGGGTCCTAATCCCCAACCCAGCCTGTTCGGTGGCCTGGGAGAGGTCAGCACTCCCTGCCTCAGTTTCTCTTTCTCCTGAACCCAAGGCACCACCAGTAACAAGGTGGGGATGGAAAGCAGACAGGAGCTGCAGTACCTGAAGGACGGGCTTCGATGACGTATCTGGTGATGGGCCCTTGGCCGGGGTCCCCACTCGCCCAGTGGATGGTGATCGCCGAGCCGTAGCGGGAGATGAAGGGCTCACCAGGGGGACCGGGGGCACCTGGGGACACAGAGCAGAGCTGGAAGCACAGGGGTACAAACTGGCATGCGGCCATGCCAGCCCCGGTGCACTGGGGGAACCGTCCCCACTGCATCTCCTCCCTCGCTCCAGTACAGCATCTCGCACGTCCCCCCCCTACCTT